TTGGCTACTTCATACAACAACATCGGTAGTGTGTATAACGTCATGGGCGAGCATTCAAAAGCACTTTTATTTTACGAAAAAGCACTTGGTATTCGACAAAAAGCCTTTCCTTTGAATCTTCTTTCCTTGGCTACTTTATACAATAATACCGGTAGTGTGTATAATAAAATGGGAGAGTACTCGAAAGCAATTTTATCTTACGAAAAAGCATCTGAAATTCTACAAAAAGCCCTTCCTTCAAATCATTCGGATTTGGCAGTTTCATACACCAACATCGGTAGTGTGTATGACAATTTGGGAGAGTATGCGAAAGCACTTTCATTTTACGAAAAAGCACTTGAAATTCAACAACAATCGCTTCCTTCGAATCATCCTTTATTGGCTTCTTTATACAGCAATATCGGTATGGTGTATGATAACATGGGAGTGTATCCAAAAGCACTTTCATCTCACGAACAAGCACTTGAAATCTATCAAAAAACTCTTCCTTCAAATCATCCTGATTTGGCTACTTCATACAACAATATTGGTAGCGTGTATAACAACATGGGAGAGTACTCGAACGCACTTTCATTTTACGAAAAAGCACGCGAAATTCGGGAAAAAGCTCTTCTTTCAAATCATCCTGATTTGGCTTCTTCATACAATAACATTGGTTCGGTATATCTCACAATGGGGCAGTACTCAAAAGCACTTTCATCTTTCGAAAGTGTACTGGAAATGCAAGAAAAAACTCTGTCTTCAATTCATCCTCACTTAGCTATCTCACACAACAACATTGGTATGGTGTATGACAACATGGGAGAGTATTCGAAAGCACTTTCATTTTACGAAAAAGCACTTGAAATTCAACAACAATCGCTTCCTTCAAATCACCCTTCATTGGCTACTTCATACAACAACATCGCTAGTGTGTATTACAATATGGAAGGCTACCCGAGAGCACTTTCATTTTTCGAAAAAGCACTGGAAATACAACAAAACACTCTTCCTTCGAATCATCCTTCATTAGCTACTTCGTACGGAAATATCGGTTGTGTGAATTGCAAGATGGAAGACTATTCGACAGCACTTTCATTTTTCGAAAAAGCACTTGAAATTCGAGAAAAAACACTTTCTTTGAATCACCCTTTATTGGCTACTTTATATAACAATATTGGTAATGTGTACAGAAACATGGGAGAGAATTCGAAAGCACTTTCATTTTGTGAGAAAGCACTTGAAATAGGACAAAAAACTCTCCCTTCAGATCATCCTGATTTGGCTTCTTCATACAATAGCATCGCGAAGGTGTATTACAATATAAAAGACTATTCGAAAGCACTTTCATATTATGAACGTGCTCTGAACATCAGACAACGTGCATTACCTCCAAATCATCCTGATATTAAAGATGTAAGAGAGAGTATTGAAATTTTACAAGAAGAAATTGTAAAGAATGTTTGATAAATAAATAGAAAGATGTTTTGTTCACTTTTTCAATTAATTGTTTTTTTCGTGATTCGTGTGTGGGTACAGAGAGCAACACTGTGAGATTATAGGAGAACAGCGAGGGTGTGTAGGTGAGGACGTGTTGGTTGCTGTCTCCTTTTGACATAAAGAGATTAGCTACCCACATCCACGACATTTCTCTCTCCAAGTAGGTAATCACTAATTATATGTCATCTCTCTTCTTCTTTGTTTCGCGTCTCGCTCGAAGAGCACGAAGGACAAGCATTTATTCAATTTTTAAAAGTAAAGCAAGAAAGTAAGGTAGAATAAAAGAGATCGCTACAGTTATGATCTAACAAAAAATAAGCGTTTTCTTTATGAAGGAGATATCTTCTTAACATCTGATATTAATATAGCAAAACGTTATGCTTCCACTTTTACTTATAACGGAGACAATATTATATTGTGCTTCAGAATCCAGTCAATCCAAAGACTTCACTTAAAGTCAATGATGATAAAATTACAGTCGATGATTATTGGATATTACCTGGTGTTGATGATACTTGACCTTACGGATATTGTATAATGAAGAAATCAGAATATATTCTAAGATATTTCATATTGTTTTCATATTTTTATGCTTTCAGCTGACACATGTAATGATTCAAAAGACTGAAATAAAATGTCTTAACTTGTAGATTTTTGATAATAATATGAATGACTAATGTATTAAAAATTTTATAGGAATTAAATTTCAAAATATTTCAAATAAATATTTAAATTAATATCATGATGAATATTTTATCTCTTATAGATTATTCTCGTTTGAAAGATCTTTTCTATTAGTTACTTAAGACCAAGATACAGCGTAATATCGATAAGATGATTTTTTTTGCTTTAAATTGTTATAACAATTCAATTATAGGAATGATAAATGCCTAAGAGATATACTTATGTAAGTGTGGTTATATTTCCATTTCTTTGCCTGAACTTGATATTTTTTCTTGAGAGAAGAAGAGAGAATAACTCTTAAGAAAAAGAAATAAAAGAAAATAGTCAATTAAAAGAAGTTTATAAATTATTGCGGTCTAGTTCATTAATTTTAGAATATTGTTGACGTATTATTTATTTCATATGAATACATAGATCAGATAGATTGATCCAATCGACAATTTAGTTTTTTTTTCATTTCATTATCAAACATTACAAATGCCTTTTGCTTTTGTAATTATATTCTTAATTTTGATAAATTATAAATGTAAATAATTTGAGTCAATTATAAAACTGTTTCAACTACATTTTTATATGAAAAACTCTGAAAGAAAAATATTTATTCAGAACTGTCTGTGTGGAACAAAGAATTTGATTAAAAAATAGTTCATCAAGTCTAGAGTATTCCTTTTCTTTTTCTTTGTAGAACTTTGAAATGGATATAACTAGATCATTTCAGGTTTGCTCTCAAAATATATTTTTCATTATTTCGAAGAATTAATTAAGTTCTATGATTTTGTGTTGTATGTAGACAAACGAAGAAATCTCCGATATTTAAATCAACAGTCTAAGTTTTCTTCCTTCTTCGTCTCTAGCGATCGGCATTTACCGTTATTTATACATTTTTGTTATTCTAGATTAAATTCAACATTCAGTCAACTGAAAGTAACAAGAAACTATTTTTCTAATTATTGTTGTGTCTGCAATGGATATTGACCTATTTATTGCGTTCATTCTTTTTTGTAACATTTGATTTTGATAATATAATTAAGACTGTTACTTAATATGTTGTTAAATAAAAGAAAAACAGCAAAAGAGAGAAAGACTAATCATCAGCAGCATTTGTGTTTTCTTAATATTCAAACATACTACAATATTTTACTCTTCATTCTGAAATCAAATTGAGACAATAGTAGATATCAACAAACAAGCTTTTTGGCATTTTACCTTTAAAGACATATTAACTATTCTATGTTCAGCTGCTATACCTATAGCTCTTGCGATTTATACTGCAATCGGGTCTCAACAACAAAAACAACAAGCTGAAAGAACACGACAGTTTGATTTGGAACAATCGAGAGAATCAAGACAACAAACACTTTATGACGAATTCATAAATAATATTTTCAAATTGGATAGTTATGGTTATCTTAAGGAGAGAAAAAATCCATGGGCATTTGCAAATGCATATTATCGTGCTGCTCATCGTCAATGGGATACTATACGTAAAGCACATGTTTTACAATTTCTTAAAGAAAAACAATTAATTGGTAGAAATAATTGTTCTAATGGATGTAGAACAACAAAATTAGATGATATAATTCGTTTAAATGAGTTAAACTTTGATAATGTACATCTAGCAAGTGAAACTGGTGTATTAAATAAGTTGAATTTACAATGCATTTCTTTTGATCAAGTATCAATGTCAAATGCAGTATTTTCATTTGCTAGTTTAAATGGTGTATCATTTGATGGAGGACGATTGGACAACGTTAAGTTTGATGGTTCATCTTTACTTTGTGCTAGTTTTAATGGTACCAATCTAACAGGTGCACACTTTTCAAACAGTGATATGACAGGAGCTAAAATAACAGAAGATCAAATAAAACACGCATATTTTTATAATGTAATTATGCCAAACGGAAAGAAGAGTGAAATTACATCCTCAACGACAACAAAAACCCTATAGCACAAACAACAACAACAACAATAATAAAAACAAAAATGTCGACAACATTATTACCATCATCAACCTCAACAATATCCACTACATCATCCACAACAACTACGACATCATCGACAACATCAACAACAACGTCAACGTCAACAACAACAACAGCAGGGAATCCATGTTAGTAAGAAAATGTGTTGTTCACTTTTCGTGAACTGTTCATTAAAATCATTAGTTTTAGTTGCTTACGAAAATCATTGACGAAAGTAGCTTTGTATTATTTTCGGATAGCAATCGTACGATTCTCATGTTAAAACAGAATAAGAGAATAACATTCGCTGAGTTTATCGAAATTTGATATTTTATGTAAGTAAGTCGACAGAAGAGTTACCTCTCTTTAGTTAGGACATTGTGAGCTAGAACTGACCTGCAAAGTATTCCTTTTCGTCGACTATTGATGTACCGTCAGCATTATTATACTGATTTTCTTTCCATTACGATAGAATCCGTAGATAAAATGAATACCCGAGCTTCGACTGAAAAATTTGCTTCTAAGAAGGATTTGTAACTATGAGAATATCTGGAATACACCAGCCAAAAAAGAATGATTCCATGTTAATATATTAGTTGCTCGAAATGGATGATATCCACGAAAAACCTATATACGATCTAGATTGGCTGAAGCTATAACTTTAGGTACTCTGACGAACAGAATAGATATCTTATAAAGAAGATCATTCATTTTATTATTGTGCACGTAGAAGAAAGAGTGCTCTCCATCTATATTGATAGTCGATGTTTTTGATGCAATATATTTTTTCTATGCTTAATCTTGGGTACTTTTGTTTTCAATTACAAATATGTATCTAGCATTATGCGGCCTGCATAAGTAAAACCTAGATTTTGATTGCACAACGTTAATAGTAACAATATAAGAATATAACGAGTCATATAAACTAGTATTGAATTTTACATAGATCATACAATTAGATAGTAAGATCAATAATTGATTATTATTCAATATTATGTATAATCGTATCACAACCTATACCTTCTATCGATCTTTACTATAAAACACTTAGAAGGTCAAAGAATAGACACAGAATCTTATAGTTTAATTTTACTATACTTCAGTCGCGATTCTACAACCATACTAGTCATAAGTATATCCTCAAATCCATAGTTCGACGTCTGTATTTTTGTTGCTATATCAATGACTCACAACACATCTCTAAATTTTATTCTTTATGCCGGTATCTCTATATCTGTAACTTTTTCTTTGATACAGATAACTAGAGTGTAAAAAACATCGATATTTGACTATATAGAGCGATATAGATAGATGTGCATTTTTTGCATATACTCTCATACTCGATTTAATAGGAATGTATAAGATTCGTCACACCAGATCTCATAATATTTTGCTGTATTCAGAAAACTTATACTGATTAATATAAGATATGTCAGAATTTGTATTTTATATTCTTATTCGTTTCGTATCATGTGATTCTTGCAAGATTTCTGCCTAAATGTATTATTCAAAATTAGATCAAATCTTTCGATTAGTGAATCTATGCGACATTGTTGTATTATAGTGGAAACGTTGTATAGAAAATCTTGTCTGCATTGGATCTTATGTATTCTGATGTTTGTTTTTTTTATTTGATCAGTTCAGATGCACTCAAACTATGATGTACATATTTCGATAAGACAACGGATCAGATCTTATTAATATATCACTTGTATCATTTTTAGGTACAACTGGTAATTATGTTTGGAATACATCAGGAATTACTATACTCGATTCATCACAAGTAACAAAGGTCACGAATATGTACATAGACTCAAATAATACTTTATATATTACGGATGAGTACACTAACACTGCTGTATGGAGATTATTGAAGAATGCTACAACTGCAACGGTAATTGCTGGAATAAAAGACTCAAGAGGATCAAGTAATACTCAACTAAATCATCCTCAAGATGTCTATGTTGATACAGTTGGAACTATGTATGTATCTGATTGCTTTAATCACCGCATACAAAAATATATTAACGGATCAAACATTGGAATCACCATCGTCGGTATAACAAACTCAGCTGGACCTTCATTAAATCAATTGAACTTTCCACGATATATTACTCTTGACCAGACACAAGCATATATGTATATCGCTGATGGTGATAATCATCGTATTATGCGCTACTCAACAAATTCGACCTCAGGTGACAACGGAACTCTTGTTGCTGGCGGAAGTGGAACAAGAAACACTATCACATCATTATACGACCCATGGGGTATATGGTATCAGCCATCTGTAAGTAGCGACTTATTTATCACAAATCATGATGGACATTCAGTAATGCGTTGGACACCGGGTGCTACTTCAGGTACTTTCATTGCCGGAGTACCAGGTGCAGCCGGCTCTAACTCTAGTCTTTTAAATCGTCCCAAGGGTATTAAACTTGACAACTATCTAAATATGTTCGTTGTTGATGGAGATAACCATAGAATTCAAATGTTTTGTGCCAACAATCAAACAGGTATTACCATTGCTGGAACTGGTGTTTCTGGTAGTAATACAACGACATTAAATGGACCAAAAGGTATTGCATTTGACTCAAATATGAACATGTACATAACTGATTTTCATAACATGCGTGTGCAAAAATTTCTGAAGCTATAGATTTTTACAAGCAAACTTCACATTAATACGCTTATGCTATTTAATTTATTAAAAATACATTATTCGCTTCGAGTATGTCCAGTGATGTCGCACAATAAACAAAAAACAAAAAACAAATTTTATTCGCTTTCATTATTATACAACATTTTATTAGTCTGACTCATTCAGTTTTCATTGTCGCTTACTATGTTTTAATTTTTCTTTTTTTGCTTGCTGAATAAATAAATAATGTAATACAAATCTTGAAAGTATGGAATATGAATGTCGATGAAAGATGAATGGTTTTTACTTATACTTAGTTCATTATAAAATATTATAATTCTACAGAATTAAATATCATTTAGCGTTTTGTTGTGTATAGAATATACTCAGAAACAAGTATAAACTCACTTAAATAAAGAATATCTGGTCGTCAGTTAGCTATGAATTTACGTACTGGAAAAAAAACTGATATTACGAAGACAAAAAAAGTTTATTTTGGCATTCTACATTTATAATACTAAGTCGCTGTGAATAAAACATTATTATTCTTCTATAAAATATATACATTTGTGCCTTTTGTTAGATTGTTAATGTATAAATAGCAAGATTTTAATAGTTGCTGAAGAGAAACAAAATAAATATCGCATATCTCAACGTTTACAACATAATTAAACAAATGCATAGAACAAGTAGTTTCATTATGCTATATTTATCATTTGTGAATTTTACTATATCATTTTCATCGAAACATCTTTTGTGATATTTTTCTGAATCAGAAAAGTTCTGTAAATAACGAGCAAAATACTAACAATTAATAAAAACCATCTTGAGGGTGGGTGTGGGTTGTGAATAAGAAGAACACCCACACCCACACCTACACCCTCAAGATGGTCACAATGAATGCTTACACTTTCAGCTTTTTGTACTATTTTTTTCTTAAATCAATAGAAACCATCTTGAGGGTATGAGGTGGGTGAGTGGGGTGTGGGTGTGAATGTATCTTCTCATAATCCAAGCCTTGGTTATACGGTTCATCCAATGAATCTAGAATCGGGCAATGGTTCAAATATGGCCATTATGATAACAGTAGAATTAGTTCAATTATTAATTAGGTATCATGTAAAAGAAAATAATTATCTAGTTACTCGCTCAATTGATGAGTCTGATCGTGATCATGTGCAACGTAGTATTGTTGCAAATAAAATTAGTCATGTAAATATTACTTCTACAGTAGCAATAAGATCGAAATTTCAACTTAATATAATAACTATGAGATTAGCTGCTTTTCCTATAAACAATCCGTTACTATTTAAAAGCTTATTAATCGATTTTGCAAGTGTTTTTCGTATGATCTCGATTATATATGTAAGACAATTTTTTTGAATATCGACACTCACTAAATGCTAGCCTTAAATACATAAGTATGTTCTTTTCTTCTGTAAGTCTTTTTAATAAATTTGATGAAAAGAGATTCAGAATAAGCAAAGCTTCTGCTTGTCCAATCGTCTTCATCAGACATCTAGACTTGATTTTCCTACCCAATGTTAACATCGAAAGGGTGGGTGTGGATATTCTTCTTATTCATCATGAACAGCCACACTCACCCTCAGTGCTCTATTTAAATACCAATGAATAATATATCATTTTTCATGAAAAAAATATTTATATTCTTTTTTTTTGCTAGTATATAGAAATCGAATCAATTGCGTGAAAAATATCTAATTGAGATTGTGTTTCATTACTATAGAATCGTTTCTTTAAATCTTCAGTTTCATTATCGGGATAAAAATAAATAAAAATTATACTTCCTTTATACTCATCATCTTTATGATTACTCAAGTTTAATTTGTGAAAATCAAAAATGTTGAATTATTTCTGAAATATATAACAAATGATAAATTAAATTAATTTTTTTATCTTAATGAAAGTAATGTTTATTTACTTATAGATAAAATACGAAAACGAATAAATCGATATATTTCTTCTTTTCTGATGATTCTCAATATATCATCCATCGTTTTTATTCAACAAATATATTTCATGACACATACATAAATAAACTTATTCATTGTACAATAGAAACAGAACGAGTAAAGTAAGTACATTATATCACACATGACTTTTGTTTCGGTATTTTCCACCTGCGTCATATACTTTTCTGAGCTGATCAAGCATGACAAATTTACATTTTATCATTCTTTTAAAATGAAAGAAATTGTATTATAATCGAAGACAGAGTTGTAACCGAACTGATCGGTTCTTACCAATTTGGTTGATAGACGACGAAACTACAATTCTAAATCGAACCAAAAGACTAAGCTGAAAGGAAACTATTCTCAATACTCATTATAAAAAACCAAAAAAATAAATTTCTATTAATAGTTTAGTATATATGACAATGTAGCATATAAATACTGTAGTCTTTTTTATTTAGTATCACTAGTATTTGATAATTAGTGGTCACGTTATTCTTTTTTGATCGATTTCTTTTAATATTCACGTATAAATGTGTGCTGTGAGGTAATGATGCCATAGAGTATTCCACCCTAATAGTGAAAAATCCTCTTTTATCGTTCATAACAAACGGAATGTGAACGTGGCTCTCTTAAGAAGGCTCTCCTGAGACTATTTTCTGTATCAGGAATTTATACAAACGGAAGTGTTTAATTGAATATATTAATTAGTGATAAGTGACATATCTTGGCAAGCAATCGTAAAATATAATTAAATTTGCAAACTAATCACTTGGTGATTAATATTCAGTACTTCTCATCACTTTTTATTACTAGTGAGCCTCAGGAGAGTTGATGTGACTGTGACTGTTAGTATAGATACGGGTGTGATTCTTCATAGCCACGCTCACACCCTAACACTATCAGGCTACTCTTTACATCAGACGATAGGGTCAATTTGGTTTCCATTTATTTAAAAGAGAAACAATACAAAAAGCTGAAAGTATAAGCATTAATGAGTTTGAGTCAAAGATTGATAATGGGAAATTTTACGAAAAGTTTTGGTTTCGAACGAACATTGTCACTCGCTCCATATTACTGAGTGGTTAATCATGAGATAATGCTCTTGGTAGAATAAGGAAACGTCAATAAGGATGTTGAGTATGATGGAGAAATAAACTTTAACAGTGTAGGAGAACACTGACGGTGTCTGAATTCTCACTTGCAGTGACAATATCAGGTTTATTGTCATTGTTCACATCAGCTACTGCTAATGACATTGGATATACACCAACTGAGTAAATAACCTGAAGAAAAAAAGTACCGTTGCCTACATTGAGAAGAACACTGACGGTGCTTGAACCTCTATTTGCAGTGACAATATCAGCTTCGTTATCGCTGTTCACATCAGCTACTGCTACTGCATATGGACTGTCACCAACTGCATAAGTAGTTTGAGGAGAAAAGGTGCCGTTGCCTGTGTTGAGAAGAACACTGACGGTGTCCCGGCCATCATTTGCAGTGACAATATCGAGTTTGTTGTCGCTGTTCACATCGCCTACTGCTACTGATCGTGAATGGTCACCAACTGCGTAAGTAATTTGAGGAGAAAAAGTGCCGTTGCCTGTATTGAGAAGAATACTGACAGACTCTCGATCCTGATTTGCAGTGACAATATCGGGTTTGTTATCGCTGTTCACATCAGCTACTATTACTGTATATGGGCTTTCACCAACTGTGTAAGTAGCTTGAGAAGAGAAATTGCCGTCTCCTGTATTGAGAAGAACACTGACGGTGTCTCGTTCCCGATTTGCAGTGATAATATCGGGTTTATTGTCGTTATTCACATCAGCTACTGCTACTGACGATGGACTTTTACCAACTGTGTAAGTAACTTGACGAGAAAAAGTGCCGTTGCCTGTGTTGAGAAGAACACTGATCGTGTCTGACTCTTCATTTGCAGTGACAATATCGGGTTTATTGTCGCTGTTTGTATCGGCTACTGCTACTGCTACTGATGATGAACTTTTACCAACTGAGTAAGTAGTTTGTCGAGAAAAAGTACCATTGCCTGTGTTGAGAAGAATATTGACGGTGTTTGATTCACCATTTGCAGTAACAATATCGAGTTTGTTGTCGCTGTTCACATCGCCTACTGCTACTGATCGTGGATGGTTACCAACTGCGTAAGTAATTTGAGGAGAAAAAGTACCGTTGCCTCTGTTGAGAAGAACACTGACGGTGTCTGGACCATAATTTGCAGTGACAATATCGAGTTTATTATCGCTGTTTACATCGGCTACTGCTACTGATTGTGGACGGTCACCAACTGAGTAAATAGTTCGATGAAGAAATGTCCTATTACAAGATGCTAAACAAAAAAAAGATTTATATTACAGTTTTTATCATTAAAGCACAATATTTCATCGTCTTATTCTATTTAATCTGCTACAGTTCAACTCAACTAAAAGCAAACCAATCAACTAATAAAATCATTCTACTGTGTTTATGAATAATTGTGATTATCTACAATCCCGCTACTTACATCGTTTTTCTGATTCTATTTATCGTCATCAGCAACATTTTAATCTATTTCGAAATTATCATAGTTATTGATCTCCAATCTAGTTAATATATTCATCTCTTCTGCATTCATTTTTTCATGTGCATTCTCTCTTTGCAATTTCTTTTCAATACAAAAACTAATTTTGTGACATTCTAAACATATTCTCACGAACAGATGTTAAGATGAACTAATACTTTAGAACAGTCACTAGATTATGTTTTCACTAAACACAGCTATCAGAAAAGACTAATATTTCAATGAAACCTTACTAAAAATATACTTCTATTCAAATTTAGTCCTATCAAATGAATTCAAGGAAGATCTTCGAATCATATGATAGGTCGATTTATTCAAGTGCACTAGAAAATATCTTCACTAAAACGAACAGACATAGAATATCTAGGTGTATTAAATGAGAATGATTGATCCTTTCTTAGGTTTACATGGGAAGCTTAAACTGAACAAGAGGGACCCAGGATAAATAAAAGTTGACCTCTTTTACTTTTCTGCAGAACACAGTAGTCTCTTTAATACCTTTAATCTTTTAAGCATCTATAGAAAGTAAAATCTAGCATACAAAGATCGATATCTACATCTAAAGTTAAAACTGAATAGATTTTGTATTTTGCGTGCCTATCGCCAGTTGTTGTAACTTCGAGCTAAGATCTCCCTTAAAAGATTCTGTATTTCATTTCACACAAATCTATCTCATAAAGATAAAGGTAAATAAAATTATTTTTCGTAATACTATAAATATAATATGAGTAACTTTCAAAATAATATTCAAAAGGAAGTACTGTGTGAAAACTATTAATAACCATCAAAACATATTCAGCAAATCAAAAATAGGAGCTTCTAACAATAAGAGTATAGTTTCTCAAACTGAACAACATCTGATTGATTGGCAGCTAAAAAAGGATACTATGATTCATGTGGCATATTACTGACCGACTGGTGTTGTTGTTGTTAATGAAGAGGTTGTTGTCGACGATATTGTTGATGACGATGACGTTGTTGATGCTGCTGTTGATGTTGATGTTTTTGTTGTTGATGATGATGATGTTGATGTTGTTGTTGATGATGCTGGTGATGATGATAATGATAATGTTGTTGTTGTCGTCGTCGATGATGACGACGTTGCTGCTGTTGAAGGCGTTGTTGTTGTTGTTGCAGTTGCTGATGAGGTTGTTAAGGATGATGCTGATGTTATTGTGAATATATTTGTTTTTGTTATTGCTCTTTTTTGTGTTATAGGTTTTTTTGTTGTCGATGAGGATTTCATTTCACTCTTCTCTCCATTTGGCATAATTACATTATGAAAATATGCCTGTTTTATTTGATCTTCTGTTAATTTAGCTCCAGACAAATCACTATTAAAAAACTGCGCCCCGGTCAGATCAGACTTCCCAAAATCTGTACCCGACAGATTTGTACCATTAAAACTAGCACAAAGTAAAGATGAACCATCAAATTTAACGTTATCTAAGCGTGCTCCATCAAAAGATACACCGTTTAAACTAGCAAATGAAAATACTGCATTTGACATCGATACCTGATCAAAAGAAACACATTGTAAATTCAATTGATGTAATGTACCAGTTTCACTTGCTAGATGTACATTATCAAAGTCTAACTCATTTAAACGAATTATATCATCTAGTTTTGTTGTTCGACATCCATTAGAACAATTATTTCTACCAATTAGTTGTTTTTCTTTAAAAAATTGTATAATATCTGCTTTACGTGTTGCATCCCATTGACGATGAGCAGCACGATAATATGCATTTGCAAATGCCCATGGATTTTTTGTGTCATTGAGATAACCATCTTTATCTAATTTATAAATATTATTTAAAAATTCATCATAAAGTGTTTGTTGTCTTAATTGTGTTGATTGTTCTAAATCAAACTTTTGTTTTTTCTCAGCTTGTTGTTTTTGTTGTTGAGACCCAATTGCAGTGTAAATAGCAAGAGCTATGGGTATAGCAACTGAAGATATAATACTTAATATATCTTTTAATGTAAAATTCCAAAACGATCGTTTGCTAAAATTTACCATTGTCTCAATCTAATTTCAGAATGAATGCTGTAAATAATTAGTTTTTCCCTCTATTGTCGTGTTTCTTTTATTTAACAGCATATTAAGTAACAGTTTTAATTATATTTCCAAAATCAAATATTACAACAAAAAAAAGGAAATAACTAGGTAAATATTCATTACAAACACAACGATAATTAAAAAAACAGTTTCTTATTAATTTCAGTTTGCTGAACATTGAATTTGATCTACAGTAACAAGAATATATAAATACCAGTAAATGAGCACCCATGGAGACGATGAAAGAAGAAAACTCATACTATTGATTTAAACATCTGAAACTTCTTCGTATGTCCATATACGACACAAAATCGGAGTACTTAATTAATTCTCCGAAATAATGGAAAATATATTTTGACAATAATTGGGAAATGTTTTCATCATATCTGTAGGCTTGATGAATCGTTGTTTTAGTCAAATGATATCTTTCATACGAACAGCTTTGAATAAATGTTTTCCTTCCCAACTTTTTACATAAAAACTTTTGATATGATTGATATTACTAGTTCAATTGTCTTTCAAGAAAAAAACAAATGTTTGATTGAGATGCTGTTCATTATCTTCCGCTACTCTAGTTGAGGCTTGGATATGGGCAAGATTTTATGGAGAAAAGTCGGATCAGATAGGAAAATTCTAGTAAAAACTCAACTTGCACCCATATCCTTTTCCCTCGTTCTGTAGTGTCCTCTATTGTAAACTGTTTGAAAGATATTATGTGATTCATGTATTGTATTATCCAACTATACTAATCATTTTATTTTCGTTAAAAAAAAAGAAGAAATCATGTCAAAAGAAGATGATGATAATGAAGATGAAGATTTTGCTGTACGACATGCATATGAAAAATATGGTGTTAATGGTTATTACAGTCAATATGGTTCAGATTATCGCAATCCACATGAAGACCGATTAATAACAACTGTTCATCAACTTGTAAAAAAATGGAATATAAAATCAACAGAACGTATTCTTGATTTAGCTTGTGGTAGTGGAGAAATAACATTAATTCTTCGTCAATTAGGTTTTCAACATATAAATGGTATTGATCCGTATACAAGTGAAGCATATGAAAAACGTACAGGCACACCAATTCATGCAAAATGGACATTTGAACAAATCGCTGATGGTTGTCTTGAAAGTGAAATTTATGATACAATTATTTGTAGTTTTGCTGCACATCTTATTCCACCATCCTATTTACAACTTGTTATGATACAATTACGTTTTGTTGCAAAAAAACTTATTATTCTAACACCACATAAACGACCTCAATTATTACCTGAATGGGGTTGGAAATTAACTGATGAATTTGTTTATGAACGTATTCGTGCGAGACTTTATATCGCAGATGAATACTAAATACGAAAAAAGCTAGTTTTCTAAAGAAAATAAATTTTTGTAATAACATTCTAGAGAAATTTTTTTTTTATCTGACTTAATAACGTGCACACGAATGAAAACAAAAAAGTAAACAAGGTAAAAGAAGACGTCGTCGAATAAAAGTAACTCGTTGTACAAAAATAATTAACAATGGAAAAAATAAAATAAGACTAAGATTAAATAAATCAAATGCACAAGGATCAAATTCTTCAAGTAAATCTCGTACAACACGTACACCGGCTAATCGTATTTCAGATACTTCATATTCTAATCTTTTTAACATATAAAATTGATAATAATACCATCTTGCTGATATAATTTTTCTTGGTTGATCTTTATCTAATAATTTTAATAAAGTTATACCAATATCACTCAATTGAACTAAATTTTCTGAAAGTTGTAAAATCTCCGTATCATTCGAATCAATAGATAATTTATTTAATTTCCATGATGTAAATATTGAATATAATAATGACATATTTGTAATTTTTCGTAATTGTCGAGTTTGTTCACTTTCTGGTTTTAATATATCAACAAAACGATTTAATAATGTTTCACTTGTATAATTACGATTACGATTACGTCCTTGTAAACCTAATGGTTCACATATATCAGCTAGAAGTTTCAACGATATTGGATTTGTTACAAATCGTGATAAATCTTTCATATATTGTTCATTATTTGAATGAAAAAATTTCTTATCTATTTTAGCAAGTCGATCATACATGCATTCACTTTGATCATATAATGATGACCATAATCTTTCAGCAATAGAAGCAGTACGTGGCCATATACGAGAATGTGCCATATTTCCATCAATATATTCAGTCCATAGACAAGCTTCACCACCAAGAATACGTTTTTGTTCAATTTCATTTAATATTGTATTAATTTGAAAATCATTTTTATAATGATATTTAGCTGATTCCATATGATCAAGATAAAAACCATATGAAAGAATTGCACGATAACCTCGACGAGCTGCATCAACAAGAGAAGCTTTACTACGCCACGACTGAATCACTGATGTGCGTGAAAGATTTGATGTACTGATTTCATCCCAACCCATCATTATACCTGAAAAATTCTTTAGAATATCACTCTATCCTATAAAACAAACTATTTCATATAGAAAAATTGACTCATTCTATGTTTGATAGCCTCGGGGCTGAAAGACAGTATTTTGTGAGTATGCACTGAATAATTTAACCACTCATTTATAATGACTCTTATATTAAACAAACACACTTGATCTCGTTCTCTAGTGTAGATGTTGATAGTCTTATTTTCATAAATTGTGTCGTTTAAGTATATATACACATTTATGAAGTTTATAGTCCTTATGAATACCTTCTAGATATTCGAGAAGAAGGTAATGAACTGGTACGTTGTAATTTGAATAAGATTTGTACTTACGATTATATTTCTTTAATAATTTTTCTATTCGTCTAGTAAAATATGCTTGTAAATCATGATGATGATGTAATCTATGTTGTCTAACAAATTTTTGTATATGTTCGGATTGCATCCATTCATATGGTTCACATTCATCACCACCAATATGAAAATATTTATCAGGAAATAACTGAATCATTTCAAAAAAAAATTTATCAAGAAAATCATATGTACTTTGACGTGTAACATCCATTGTTGCATTATGAACACCCCAAGTTTTTTCTAATTCATACGAACTTTTTTGACTACTTGATAAATGTGGATAACCAACAAACCATGCTGTTGTATGTGCAGGTATATCAAATTCTGGTACAATACGAATAGCGCGTTGTCGAGCATATTCAATAAGGTCTTGAATATCATCTTGAGAATAAAATTGTTCAGTATCATGAAGTCGTGGAAAACGTTTCGATTCAAGACGAAAACCTTGATCATCCGATAAATGTAAATGTAATACATTTAATTTAACTAATTTCATATAAACAAGTGTTTTTTTAATAATTGATATTGGAATAAAATGACGTGCAACATCAATCATTAAACCACGCCAAATAAAATGAGGTTTATCATAAATTAATAGAGGTACGGGTACTTTTCTTTGATATTGTAATTGTTGAAAAGTTGAAAGACCACGAATTATACCAACATATGTCTTAGCATATAATGAAGCATTATATTTCGAGGTTATATTTAATTCATAGGATTCATCAATACCTAAATCGGGATAAAAATTATTTTCTTTATCAAACTCATAATCAATAAAAAGAATAAATGAAGCATTCTTAGATGATTTCAATGTTGGAAATGGTAAAGAATGTTTTGTTTTAATAGCAATAATCGATGGAATATGTATAGTTGTTGCTTGATCAGGCATAATTATTTTTGAAGGCATAGGCATTAGATCGAGTGAATATTTTTTTGTACATAGTTTTAACAATCGTTTATTAATAATAGTATCAGTTGATGGTATGTAATGATTATTATTATCATCATTTGTTGGTCGATATTTAAACCAACATACATAAGGATATGTAAGAGATAGAAGTAGGAAATAAAGTAAAGTTATAGTTACAGTTGTTATTGTCGTTATTGCTTTTAACATAGTTGCCTTTTTTTTTCTTTATGAATTTGTTGTATTGGCATGATGTCGATAGAAATCACAATGGCGATATTAAATAAACAGAACAGAAGCGAAATTTTGTCGCGGTTACATTTCTCTTTTCTTTTTTTTTTTCAAAAGGAATTGAAAATGTCGTTATGGTTGTTCTCTCTTTTTTTTGTCAAATACATGTCAAAATCTATGTATATGTGTTGTTTCATGACTGATATTTGAAGTAAAATGATAGTATAATATAAAAAGTGGTAAAACCTTGAACTATTACTTATTAGAATTGAAAAAGAAAAATTCTTCTTCGTTTTTTCTTTCTTTCTCTATTAAGTAAATAATTATTATATATATAAAGCTGCTTTTCTTCTTTTTTTTTTTCTTCGATTGAACTAATACTTTTTAGAGTTTATTAAACTAAATTGACATACCATTATATATGCGTAAATAACTGTAAAAAAAACATTTAGAAAACGTTAATATGAATTATTAATTAAGAATATTTATTTCGATTTTTTTTTATGAAAATTATCTTTCATAAGACTATTATCAAGGTTCAATCATTCAGGAAATAACATTCAATTTTCATAAAAAGAAAGAATAACAAATTTTAAAACCATTTGATTGGAAATATAAGTCGATTATTATTATAGGGAATTCTATTCTCTGAATAATACTGATACATGGCGATATTGTTTGCATTCATTTGAACAATGAGGATATGTAAATCGATACATCGCTATGTATAGATTCGTACGATTGACCTTAGGAGAAACAGTATATGTTTTGTAAATTGATATTCACCGATGTAACTGCATTTGAGATTAATATGAATCAAAAGTGTAATTTATTCTTAGTAAAAATATTCACCGATGAAATTGTTAACCTCAATAGAGAAAAAAAAGATTTATTTTGTTCAATTACTACTGATTAGTATCGTTATTTCAAAGTAAATTATAAGTTATACATATTATTTCGCTTGCTTCACAGCTAAAAACAGCTAACTAATACGTGAATAGGTGAAAGTGAGTGATTTATAGCATTCAATTTTGCGTCATGATTTGAATCATTTTTATTATGAAAAATATTAAGTCATACAAAATTTATATATAAATTGATTCTGTTCAAAAGTATTGTTTTTATTTTTGCTAGAACTAAAGATACTTCAGATCTTATTTGATAACATGATGTTTCTATTCTGATTTCAGTATGCGATCTATCAGTGATAATTAGACTTCATGCTCACTGTGGAGTGAATGCTAATAAACAGTCGTGAGCAAATACGTAAGTCAAGCTCGCTACGCATGAACTAGTCAATGAAGTTACTTTTGGGTGAGCAGTAATTTGATTGTATAATTATGGAAAATCTTATTATTCAATTATATCGTCAAAGAAAGAATTTAAATATATAACCAGTCAATTTCTCAAACTCAATACTTAATTCTTAGCCTTGAAAAAATAGTTTTTCTTGAAGCCGATAATCAAATCAAGAAATTTTCTCAGCTACAATCACCGAGTGTTGCTGTTGTATTCCCAGTTCCAACTAAAAGCGTATTCATTCATGATTCTATTTATCAAAGATCATTCGAAAAAGTACAATATATATTCGTATAATTTAACCAGTGAGCATATTGAATGTATGAGAAATTGAGGATAATTACATTATTATATCACATATTAAAGATTAGAATTTTCAGTCAAACTGGCTTTACTAATTATTCATAATTGAATAGAAACTGTCAATTGAGATGAGAAAAATATCATAGTGTATAACAAATACTTTCTTCACTTGTACTCAAATAACTAAGATGAACTCTCGGTAAAATTATTAATAGTTCATAGATGACCTATTTTTAATAACATCATGATATACTCATCATAAGTAGATTATACTTTATGCCTATTAATTCCTTAATGAAATATTCAAACTTCTAAAATTCATCAAATTTCATTCATAATTAATTTACTAAACAAAACTAATTGTTTTTTATTGATATACGCACACACAAATAGCACACGTGAAAAAAAAGGAGGCAATATAAATTGTCTTATGTTAATAATACATAACAAAAACAAAACAGACATTTACAAAAAAAAAATCATTTTTTGTTTCTATTCGAATAAATAAAATTGTGTTTTTTTTGAATATTGTTTTTATTTAATTTTAAAGACGCGTACTATTACTGCTCAAAAATAAACGTTTATCAACAACAGAAAGACATTCTGTTATTGATTCTTGTACTAGTTGTTGAAATATTAAATCAGCTACATCAAATTTCATTTGTAAACAATCATCACTATAATTAATCCATTGTGATTCTGTACGGCGTATTTCTTCATCAAGTACTGTTTCAAATTTTTCTGTACCATTACGTCGTGCATTTGATACACGCCATTTTGAATATACTATTGGACGATTATTTAAATATAAGATTTCTAAAACTTTTGCTGAAATCAATTGTTCAATATCATGACGATTTCCTGGTTTTTTTCCACGATAATAACGTTTGGAAACAAGTTTAGTCGGTTGCCATTGAGGATATTTTGATGGTATAATATTTTCCGTATACATTTCATGTAATAATTCAATACATAAATCAAATATCATTTGACAATAAGCATGACGATTAATTCGAATATCATCACTATCTGAATCTATATATTAATTAAGTTTTAAACTAAGAATAATAAACAAAAATAATATACCTTGTTGATCATAAGTAAAATAGTCATTCGGTATTTTAGATTTAATAGTTAATCGATCAGAAAAATCTTTATTTTGATCGAATAAAATATCTATTGCTTGATGACATAATTGAGTCACTTGTTCACGTGTATGTGGTACAAATAATTTAACTGGTTCTTCAATAACTATTTTACGAGGACTTTCAACTCGTGGTTCATTAGCTAAAATTATTTTTAAACAATAATGATATCGTTTTTTGTTATTTTGACATTCTAATCGTATTGTGTTACAATATGTTAAGGTCATCTATATTTGATCTTTAATATAAGTTGTTGGGTTTCGTATGTTTTCTGAATGCTCACATATTTAGTCTCATTTTTGATACAAAAATAATTAACTACATTAAACGTCTTCTTTATGCAAAAGAGACCATAGATTGAAAAAGATAATCGTGACTTTATTATACTACGGATATATTTTTGTTTGATCTAAAATAATCAGTTACTCCACACAGAAGTACTCATGATTGTGAGGGGGATGTCAGTCATTTTAGGGTGGTTATATAATGGGTATTTGTTGCAAAATATGCTAGTTTTCAATTATTGTGAGGGGATATGCATATACTCCTTTACCCTACTTCCGCTAATCCTGACTTAACATATACTTGTAGCAAAAAACGAATTTCCTGTAATTGATGACTATAAAATATTTTTAGGTGCAAGAATACTATCCGCATGACTTATCATATTCTTTCAAATTTACCTAAAGTTCAACTATTTATAATAACGTTAAATGACTTACGATTTTTCTCGTCTAATTGACTTAAATCAAGTGTAAATTCATTCTAAAGAGAAAAGTTTTCGTATATGTAAAAGAAAAAAGAAATCTATTTACTTGTTCAATATTTTTCGGGCTGTCTCCATTAATTGTTTCGTTAGTGAATAACCAATCTTGAGGTGAAGAAGATTTTTTCTCAGTAATTTCTTGTATATCAAAATCTTTCGATTGATTTGCTTCTTTTTTTAAACGTTCAATATGTTTTCCTTGATCAATAGCTTCATCAATAAATTTTCGAATAAATATATCTGTTATTCGATCAATTTTATTTTCTTGTTCATTATCATCCTCCTCCTCTTCATCATCGTCGTCATCATCATCATCACTTATATCATGTGAAGTATCATCATTATTAATTGGTGCACTTTTTGTTTGAAGTATTGGTGGCGGAAGTGAAGGTTGAGGAGGATCTTCTTCAATAGTTTTCTCATCTTGTCTTCGTGGTGTTGTATTAGCAGATTTTTTAACAAGAACAAGTATTTCTGATTGTTCATCACCACTTGATTTTGATGTTAAACTATGATTTTTATCATGTGATAATTGTTTATCTTCAAAATCTTCTTGAATTGATTCATTATCAACATCATCAAGTTTAATTTTTGGTAGAGAATCTTTTTTTGGTGTTGATGGCGAATGACTAACATCAGAGAAATCTTCATCATAATCATTTGTAACTGCTGTTGGTTTTTGTTCAGATGTTCGTGATTGTACTTGTCTTTTTGAGGATCTTTCACTTGTTGTTGTAGTTGTTGAAGATGAAGATTCAGAATCTTTAGATTTCGATGATGCTGAGAGAGGTTTTGTATTTAAATTTAGTACTGGTCTAGAAAATAAATATATATTTGATTTATAACAGATTGAATTTTTGAAATACTCACTTTTCATTATCAGTACTACTACTTGGTTTATGACTATCGTCATCGTCACTTTCTGATAATTCAGCTAAATCAGTAGCAATCGAAAGTGATTGTGCATCATGTTGTGTATCTCGTTCTTCACGAGGTGTTTCTAATGGTTTTACTTCTGGTTCTTTTTTTTCATCTTCATCGCTATCATCATCGAAAAAATCACGTTCTTTTGTTTGTGCTGGACGATTTAGTTCAATTCGTTTCTCCTTTAATTAAACAGTTCTTAATAATAAAACTAATATGTATATTAATGTAAGAACTTACAACAATATCAGTTTTCGAATGTGACGCTGTTGTTACTGGTAAATCTTCACCTATACTAGATTCTTGTGGTTTTGTTGGTGTTGAAATGCTACTACTACTACTAGCACTACTCTTTGATACTATTTTACGAGGTGGAATCGATATTTTCGGTTCTGGTTGTACTTTGGGTTGTTCAATTCGTTTTTCCTTTAATTAAACAGTTCTTAATAATAAAACTAATATAAAGATTAATGTAGGAACTTACAACAATATCAGTTTTTGATTGTGATGCTGTTGTTATTGGTAAATCTTCATCTATACTAGATTCTTGTGGTTTCGTTGCTGTTGAAATACTACTACTACTACTATTATCACTACTAGTACTACTCTTTGTTACACCTTTACGAGATGGAATTGATATTTTCGGTTCTGGTTGAAGACGCAATGTTTCAATTTCGTGATTATATGTCTAAAGTTAAAATTTGATATACATTTCATACAGTACATTAATACGATTTAGTTCATACAATTCAAAATAAAAGCTCATTTCCGTACCGATCAACCATACTTTCATTAGTTTAAAAGATTTCTTTATATACATAAATATGATTCTGTGCGGATATTTATTTCTTTTGTACTACAAATACTTTATTGATGAAATGCTCTTTTGAACTTTTCATTATCAGTAAAAATCTTGGGAAGTTGATATTTTAAGATTCTATAAATGGGAACGAAATACTCATATAACTCTTTAAGAAATAATTAAGTTGTCCGAGTGTAAATAATAGATGAAAATGTCTACTCAATTAATGTATGTTTCCGATATATACCAGAACAATAAAGTTTGCACTTTTGCATTACGGTCAAAAAAATATTAATTTAATACTTTGATATTACTATCATACTAATGCGTATTATCGTTGTTTATCAAATTTGTTATTCAAATGTTAAAATTAGACTTTATTTAGTTTAAAGCACTTTAGATAGAGAAGTATTATATGTTCCTGCAATGAAGTTTTCATATTTCATAAAAGTATTAAACTAATTGAAATCTAAATTTAACACCTGAAAGACAACACACAATTATAACAGATATTTAATATGATACTAATATCAAAATATTAAATTAGTTTTTTAATCCTAATACTCAAGCATTAAATTGATATATTATTAATCTCAACCTACTACCGTTCATAGGACTCTGAGTATTTTGGTTAAGAATTTATTAGCATTTCATATCTGACTTTCTTATTTTAGAAATCCAATAATAGTACTTCTTACTTGAAGTTGTTTTTTCAATTCATCTTCTTGTTTTCTTAATGCATCTTTTTTGTTCTTGTGTTTTAATTTATCAATTTCAGTTTTTTTTGCTTTCAATTGTGCATGATAAGTATTTATACGATGTTCAATATCACTAACATCTGTTGTTACAATATCTAGAATTAAATAAATATTATAGATTTATTTAAAATCATATATATTTATTTACCGGATTCATCTTTTTCAAATGATATTGTTGATATATCACTTTCTTTTTCAATTCTAAAATATTTTCAAATTAGAACAAACAAAAAAACTCATAATCAATAATTTCATACGGTTCTGTACGAATTTCACTTGTATTATTAGTTGTTTTTTGTTGAATTGTACTACTTGTTGAACTATATTGAAATGAAAAATATTTAAAATTAGATAAAAAAATGTATTTTAATTACGTTGATGATTTATTTGATATATGTATATCTTCACTAATACTTGATTCATTACTTGATTTTGGTTTTGTATGTGAAGGTTTAACATTTCGTTTGTCATGAATAACGTCGTATGCTATTATTGAAAGAAGGAGAAAAAAAAGTTTAGTTATTTTCATAAGGACAAAAACGTAAAATCAAGAAGCTAGTTAGATGAATAGCTTAGTGTTAACTCTATTTTACCATTTAATACTGTTTCCAATTGTTTATAATCAATATCTTCATTATTATTATCTAGAATATTGTTTTATATGATAAAAGAAATAATTCATATTGAACTATTTCTTAATCTCGATTTTTATTTAGTAAAAGAAGAATAATACATACCATTTTTAGCAAGTTGGCGAACTTTATTTTCAATATTTTTGAGACGTTTTTCATATTCTTGTAATTCAGTTTCATTATGAAATTTTTTCCGGACATCTTTTTCACGGTCAGTTAAAATTCTAAACAAAAATAAGAAATTATTCATTAGAAAATTTTATTATCATTTTTAATAAATAATCTCTTTTCTTCATCTAACGGAAAAGTCAGACGTTTTGCCCACGTCTTTCTCTTCTCTTATGTTCTATATAATGAAGGATATGCTTTATATAGATGTTATTTAGTAGCATAAAAAGTACTTCAAGCAATTGCCACCATGTATCGTTATGGTTTAATTATCCTATTCTCCTGTATACTGGTGGTACATTCTCGATATCTCAGTTCATCTATTATTTTAAATGATGAATTTACATCTATACTTGAATCCAATGAAGATAACAATGATTGTCGATTTCGTTTCTATCATCCACAAATATTATTTTCTTCTTGTCGTTATTTTTATAATATTCAAAAATTATTCAATACGTATGATAGAAGAGCATCAAGAGGTAATATTCGTATGAATATGAATTTACCACGATATTTACGAAATATTAATGCATATGATCGTTAAATATTTTCAAAGCAAGAAAATCAAAAAACACATACATAACAAAGCAAGTTTGTTCGAAATATTGATGTATTACATTTTTTAAAAAACTATGTATGCTTTTGTTAACGGAATATAATAAAATATATTATCCTCAAAAACTATATATATATGTATTATGTTATATCTAAAATATTAAATTGCTTGAAACGAAAAACAAACATCAGTAAACCACTGTTTTTTTTTAACTTATTACAAAAAAAGAGAATATTCCAATTCTTACGATTCCGATATTGACGATGATGATGATGATGATGAACTCGTTCGACGATGTGAAGGTTTAGTTTTAGATTGTTGAGGTGGTGGTGAATGATGCTTTCTATCAGGTACAGATGGAGATGATTGTGATGATGATGAAGAAGAAGAAGGCGACGGCGTTTTTCGTACTGGAGGTCTTTAAATGAATTGATTTTATAATAAATAAATTTGAAATATTAATTTACCTTCTAGTTTGTTGTTGTGAAACAGACTCTTCAGTAGGTTTCTTTAGTAGAAGAAGAAGAAGAAAAAGAAGTGCTATTCAATGAAATAAAATAATAATTATAAAAATATTTACATTTCTTAACACTTGTGCTAATGAAACAACTTCTTGTTGAGCAAGTGCAACTGATCGCAATCGTTCCATATGTTCTACTTGTTTCATTGATGCTTCAACACCATCAAGTAGATGTAACTCGGCATTTAATTGTCTTTCAAGTGCATCTGGTGAATAACGACGTTCATCGACTATTCGATGTGTAGTCGTTGTTGGAGGTGGACGAGGAGGAGGAGCCTGAGAATGATTATGAAAAGGTTGAACATGATCTGAAGACCTTTGTGGTGTTAACGGAGGAGAGAATGAACGACGACGTTGAACCTTAGGAGATACAGGAGGTTCAGGTGTTGGAGTTGGAGTGACCGAAGTTGAAGTAGATGGTGATGATGATGTCGATGACTCAGTACTTTGAGTATCTAAACAAGTTTTAAAATAATATTTTAGATATCGAGATGTTAAATAAGTGTATATATACTTAGTAATGGTTGCGGAATAACACGCGGTTTTTGCGGACTTTGTTTGTGATTCGTTGGTATAGATGATACTGTACTTGTCATATTTTCATAATCATCGGAATAAGTTTGTATTGTTGTTGGTCTTTGTACTTTTTGTTTTGTTGGTGGTGGTGGTGGTGGTGTTTGTTGTCGCCGAGATTTCTCAGAAATTGATGAATCTATAGAAGAAAAACAAATTTCAATTTTAAAAATTTTAATTTTAATAAATAAATACTTGTTGTTGGCCTAATATTAGTTTCATTTCGTTGATATTGACGTAAAAGTGTTGAACCAATTGTAAAATTATCATCGGAAAATCGAAGATCAAAATTTATTGCTGGAGTATCACGAATATCTGTTGCATAGGAAGAAGTTTTTTTAGGTTTACGTAGAGGCTATGTACACAAAAATAAAACATAATTATTTTTATTAAGAAATGAATATTACTCGTTTATTAGCTTCACTATTTAATCGATTTTGTTTTTCATTTATCCAAGAAAGTGATTTTCTTACTGTATAACCACGATAAGTTGCTTGAATTTTTGCTGCAGCACGATCACGTTTTATACGTTGTTCTAATATTGGATCACGAAGATTACCAACACCTGGTAATTTTTGATTTTGATATTCACTTGTTTGATTTTGATTTAAATGGCTTAAACGTCCTGATGGACGTAATATTTTCGATGCAATAATTGGTTCCGGATCAATTTTTTCATTATTTGTTATTATAATAGGTGTTTGAATACGTAAATTACCATCATTATGTTGAAGTTGTTGAAATGAAGCAGGAATTATATCAAATGCTTGAGTACCATCTAAAGAATATAGTTTTTAAAACTTGAAGTAACTTATCAATATTTTTACCTGGTCGAATATATTTAAATTTATTTTCAATAACATCACAATCTCGTGTTAAATTATGAGCCCATCGAAGTAAATTTTGATTTCGTTGTTCAAAAGCATTGTCAATATTTTGAATAGGTGGTTCTGAACGTGAGCGTACTACTGATTGATTATGTCTAAAATGAGAAAAACGTTTTATCGAGATACCCAAAAAAATAACTCTAATAATTTTACAATTTTGGTGGTTGAATTTCAACGATTGAATCAGAACTTGATGATGAACTAGGTGATGGTGAACGTTCGAGTATTAAAGCTTCTTCAATAGGAGTCTCTTTATGAGATTCAATTGGTAGTTCATCATTAGGTTTTGGACCAAGTATTTGAAGAAGTCGTTCACGTGATTGATCGGTAAGATCTTTTTGTGGTAACTATATAATAAAATAAATTATTTTCATAATAAAAAAATAATTGAAAACAAACTGATGCAGATGATTTTTTTATTAATGACGATGGTAAAGGTTGTTGAGCAACTTTTTTAATTTGTTCATTTAATTTTTTTAATCGTTCTTGTCGTTCTTTTTCTTGTACACTTTTTAATTCTTTTTCACTTAAAAGTTTTTTTTCAAGTTCTTGACGTTTTTCTTCCATGTATTTTTTTATTTTTTCACTTTCTAATTTTTTTTCTTCTTTAGTTTTTTCCGCTGAAATAAAATTATCTAATAATTATCGAAGATTTCGAAAAGTAAACATACGTTTTGGCGGTGGTTTTATTGGTACTTTTTCGGTTATAATTGGTTTTGAAGCACCTAAACTTCGATGTGAAAATTAACTTAAGTAAATATAAAAGAACAAACTTTTGGCACGTTTTGGTTTTTTTATTGGTTGTGAATTTTGAGTAGATAACTGTTCAATTATAGGTATAGCTGAATCATCAGTTACTGTCGGTTTACTAGTAACTTCAGTCGTTGGTTTTTTCTTTAAGAGTTTTTTTGAATTAGCTGGATCAGTTTTCCATGAATCCGGAGCAATTAAACCTAATATATCTAGTAGATTTTATAATAACAATAAATAAATTTTTACTAGTTTTAGCACGTGGACCTGATGAAACATGAGCAGGTTCATGTCGGCGAACACTTTTCAATCGTTGTGTATCATTTGGAGGAGGTAAAATATCTTTAGATTCTTGTTTTTTAGTCGAACCAACTGTCGCACTTGCACTACGTGGTTGTACTGCTCGATTATGTGATAACGAATAATTTTCTTCTATATTAATAGAAATTATTTCTTAAATTTAATTTATCTTTAATGAAATTTACTTGGAGTAATTTTAGTGATCTTCCGCGTATGTGGTTGATGAAATGTTTGATGCTGAAATCCATTCGATAGAATAATATCATTATTACCATGTAACATTCGTGAACCATTTGAATGCCGAAGAGAAATATTTGGTTCAGAAGGAAATGAATGAGATGATGGAGGTGATCGAGCAATAGGAGAATGTTGTCGACGATGCGGAGAATAATGAAGATTTTGTAAACTCGATGATTCAAACATATGATCACCATTAATTTGTTCAATACGTTGTTCTATAATTCAAGGAAATAAATATTCTAACAAGCGATTGCCTTTTGCTCTAGAATCGCGACTTTTTGAAAGATTGATATAACAAATCTATGAGAATACTATGTAAATATAAGAAGTTTTTCAAAAGCTCTTGAACTGATTTTAAACTGAGAAAAAAAGAGACTGCTAAAAATAAAATCAAACACTTCAGTCTAAAATTTTAGATTTTCTAAAAATAAATTTAGTTTCGGTTCATGAATTATTTATATTCTAATTATTTTTTCGAAAATTGAACAATTACCTGCAGCAATTTTCTGTTTACTAATTTTTCTTTGAATATTCTGCAAAGCTTGAGAATCAAGTAATGGACGTTTTCTATTTATTAATCGAGCATCATCATCATCATTATCTAACATACTCGGATTACTAGTATAAATCGACGATGAATTCGATGCATTTAAATGTATATCTGAATGATAATATCCAGGTCTTTTCGAATCATAAGATGTTCTCCAGTTTAATTCGGTTTGAGACATTAAAATACAATGGAATTATGTACAATATGGTAAAAAACAAAAAGGATTTCTTTGTCCAACAGGCATTCTTTGTTTCATTAGAAGATTATATGATTCGTCAATTTACTACCATTACGTTAGATGATACTAAGCAATAAACTTCATTCATTTTATATTTTAAATATGTCTATAGTATATTAAAACAGGTTGTTTAAAACAAGAGAAATGATAATATAATGAGTTTTTTGAGTAAAAATATGATAAGATTCAGATGGCGCTGGTATAAAAAAGTTGTTTGTTATGTTTTTCATTGGATTAAATAATTGTCTAATGTGAGTCATATAGGTCGGGCATCAAATTTTGAAATAATCAAAATGTCTTACATAGATTTTTGTGCAATACATGTTTGTATAGTTTAGATAAAAAGTTTCGAAACGTCAGTCAATATATAAAAATCTATTTATCGTAGCTTCGAAAATATTACGAGTCTAACTTCTTTTTTAGATAATGTCAGCTGAAGATAATTCATCTTCCACTACAAAACGACCATTTGGTTTATCATTTCCAAGTAAACCAAAAAGCAAAACAACAGCAATACTACCAATTAATAAAAATTGTTTCGCAGCTTCAGCTTTTTCTCTTGATGATGATGATGATGCAGATACATCGACTAAAATAAGTAAACCTCCAACATCAAGTCGTCTTTCACTTAATCCAAAAGCTCAACGTGATATTGAACAAGCACTTGAAGAAGATCCAAATATATATGAATATGATGAAGTCTATGAACAAGTTAGTTCAACTGTTCAACAAGAACAACGACGTGAAGAAAAAAAACGTCTTGAACGTGAATCAAATACTGTTCGAGAAGCAAAATATGTTGTTGGTCTTTTAGAAAAAAATAAACAACGTCAAAAAGAATATGATCGAGTTCTAGAACGACGTATACAACGTGAACGTGAAGCAGAAGGTGATCTTTATGCCGATAAAGAAGTATTCGTTACATCAGCATATAAAATTAAATTAGCTGAACAACAAGCTGATTTAGAACGAGAAAAACTTGAAGATAAACGAGAAGCTTTATTAAATGTTCTAGGACAAGATAATATGGATGCTTTTCATCGTTTTCAATTTAAACTTCGAACAGGTATGTTTTTCTATTATAAAGAATTTCTATTGTAACTTATTTTTGCTTACTGTAAGGTGATGCAACAATTCTTGAAGAAAGTGAAAAAATAAAAACTGAACCAACAATAGAAAGTAATTAGAATATTAGCAAATAAAAGAAAACAATTAAATATTAAAATTTTATTTTTTAGAATCTTCAACTTCTCGTAATGTTCGTCAACTTCGTACACGTGCAACACATGATGATGAAGAAGCAATGGAAACAAATTCTGCTGAGGATGGTGATGATAATGATATAATGTATAAACGTGCACGTGAAAAACATGCACGAGCAACTGAACGTGAACAACAAGATGAAGAAATTGATGAAAAACCAATTATTGATGAAAAACCAAAAACACGTCCAGTTAAAGTTCGACGTATTAATGATCAAGCAACACAAGCATTTGATGATGAACAAATTGAAATGGGTGTTGGTCCAGGTGGTAAAAAAAATAAAACTGACAAGAATAAAAAAAATGAAAAAATTGATACAAAAGAAAATGATGTAGCAACGGTAAGTATGCCAATTGCAGCTGAAAAAAAACGATTAGCTGAAGAAACAAGAATTGAAAGAATACGTCGATTATGTGAAAAAAGAACGGTTGGAGATGTATTAGATATGGCTCAACAAGCTTATTATGAACGACAACAAAAACGAGAATTATTCAAAGACTATATTGAAAAAGCTGAATTGTAATTTTGTTGTTTGTATAGAAAATAAAATATTAAGTCACATTTAAATGGTATATATTTCGCCGGGATAGCTCAGTTGGGAGAGCGTCAGACTGAAGATCTGAAGGTCCCTGGTTCGATCCCGGGTCACGGCACTCTCTTTTTTTTTATTTCTTTTCTTTCAAAACTCAAAGTCACTTGTTCTTTGCAGTTTTCTTTTTACATTAATTCAAAAAAAAAAAGTCTGACCGATATAAGATTTTGATTTGATATTCTAATTACATAATCTTCTTATTTGATAAGAAGAACATAAATACTTCAATGCACTTTACTACGCCCATTTCATTCGCAAACATTTAGTCATGCATTTACAGTACGTACGTCGACAAAAATGATATTCTAGAACAAATAAATGTACTTTTTATTCAAGTCACTGTTGAATGAACAAATCAATCATTGCCACTGGTGGATTTAGGGGGAGAATGACCGCCCCCATCGCCCCCCTCTCCTTCAGAAATTTATTGCAGCAAAAATGAACGAAAAAATAAGTTCGCACTACTTCGACTAAACTCAAAAAATTAATTATTAGCCGAAACCGCCCCCCCCCCCGCTTTCAAAATCCTAAATCCGTCGCTGATCATTACGTAATTCAAATGAAATTTGTAGAAAGAGATAAACTACGTAAATTATTTTGTGATATTTTTTGAATCATCAAAATATTTAGGCAAATTTCATTGTTAGAAAGAATTTCTTTTTTTTTTCTTTTTATTTTACGAATTGTTTTTGTGTTTGAAACAATCTTACTTTATGTTCTTTGTCAAAACATTAATGCTATTGTTGCATTACTGGATGAAAACATTCAGAAAAAAAAAATCTGTAGTGAAGAGAAAAGAGAACATATTGATTTTTTAAACCTCATTTTTCATCGACACCGTCACAATTTTCATGACAAGTAAGCATAAAATTCAACAATGTTAAAGTTTATTCTTTCGAAATTTATTCTATTAATCTTCAAAAGAATTTCTTTTCAATAACAATATTCTTTAATTCAACTACTGGTATGAATAGTCTAGTATATTCTAACTATATAGTACTAATTCATCCTTCCTTGTATATCTTTTAAAACAGTGAAGTCTTGAGAGTTGATAAGGTAAAGTACATAAACAAAAATGAAATCTATTCGTCATAAAGTAAACAATTCGAAATTCCAAAATGACAGTTTAAGATTTATCAAATAGAAAAACGCTCAAGAAAGTTTTTTTCCAACACAGACGATATTATTTTTCAGTCTTCTTACAGGTCTAATAGTATGTGATGAATGTGTACCAGCAAGAACAGGTATATGTACAACTAATCAGACATGTGCATGTTTTCCCTAATATAGTGGACTAACATGTTCAAATATAAAATTATTCATATTATAATAGAAACAAATAAGTAATATTTTTTTATTAATTTAGTTAAACTAGATTCAATAACTACAACTACAGTTACAGATACGTCGTCTTCTCAAATTAATATTGGTATTGTCGTTGCTGCTGGGCTCGGAGGAGCTTTATTAACTCTTGTCGTTGGTTTAGTCATTTTTTTTATTTGGAAAAAACGAGTAAAACAGAAATTAATAGCATATGCAGCATCAAATACATCTACAATATCAACAATACAACGACCACCACCGCCCTTACCACCACCACCATTACCGTCTCTATCACGATTACCTTCGCCTATTATTGTACCTGCTTTATATGATCTACCATTATCTAGACGAGGTTCAACTACTTCAGTGACTCCGTCCATATTGTATCATTTTTATGAAGAAACACCGTAGATACAAATGCGTCGTATGTATTTTTTATAGAATTGATGCTGAATGCATTTATTGTTAATGATGCGGCAATTCAAAATTGAATATTTTAATTAATAAAAAAATATTCAGTGATGTAATCTCTGAAACATAATTTCATTGAGATAAATAACTAATATCAATCATCGAATAGTTAAATAAACTCAACAAGCGCTTTCTTTTTTGTAGACAAAATTTTTTGATTTCTCTTTTATTAATGTTAAATAAGATAAATTCACCAATTGATATCTTATGTCGAGAATTATATCGACTTGATAATGATATTGATCGATTACAAATGCTTATAACACTGAAATCTCATTTACATCATTTACAACTTACACCTTGTACACTTCAATATTTTTTTTCTCTTTTTAATAATGAACAATATCGTTTACAAGCCATTCATCAATTAATTCCTTTTGTAAAAATTTCCTTCTTTCGATTTTTCAAAAGAATATTAAATTTCTAATTAGATTCATATATTTATTACATCTGATAGTCTTCCAATACTTCTAGATCTTTTTACTAATAATGAATATCGTTTAAAATTAATTGAAATATTAAAAAATAATGAGTATATATTTTTTTTCTTTATATTAATAATAACAATTTTCTTCTTATCTAGACTATTAAAAACAAATAAAGAAATTATTGAACTATTAGATAATGAATATTTTCTTGTAAAAAATTTTAAATCAAAACAAATTGTTGATAATCAAGAAACGAATATATCTCCATCAACAACATCGAATATGACAAGAGTTTGTTTTTCTTTTCTATTAGAAAACTATTGTTGATTTTTTTTGTCAAGGTTTTATCAAATACATCAGGAGTATTTGAAAAAGCTAAACAATTTGTTTGTCGTGTATTTGGTAGTTCATCATCTTCATTCGATGAACAATTAACAAATAAACGATTAATTAATGAAGTTAATTCTTCAATAGATAATATTCAACAAAAAAAATTTCATTCGATTAATAATAATGATTTACAATTTCAATCAACACCAATTTGTTTATCAAAAAGTTATACATCAATAATAACGAAATCACCACCACCACCTTCACCTATAGAACAATCAATTACTCGTCAATCATCTATGATATTTCATGTAGATGAAACATCATTACCGATACAATCAATGATGGTAACACAGATTCATTCAATTCTTGATAATATTGATTCAGTTCTTGATAAAATTGAAGCACAAACTAATTCAATTGTACAACGACCAGCTTTTAATGAAAATTATCCACGTATTCAAACAACAAATTCAGTTCAATTAGATATTCATGTATCTGAAGATTTACCAAATACATTTATACAACAAAGTACAGATCAGATTACTCAAACAGCTCTTAATATTGTTGAACGTCATTTAAATATGAATGATGGTAGTGGTGATACTGCACCAGCATTTATCGATCTACTTGATTTTATTGAAGAATCAAATTCAATTATATCATCTGAAGATAATGAAGAAATAATTGATAATTCGGATTAAATTAGTAGTTCATTTTAAATACTAACTCAATGTTAATATTTTTATAATTTACTATTTAATAAAAAAGATAATTTACAAAAAAAAAGAAAAAGAATTTTTTTTAAATACACAATCAGGTTTTAAATAAAGAATACGTAAAATGTATCTTAATCAACAGATTTTTAAAATATACAAAAAATAGATAAACCAAAAAATACTAAAAATTCCTCAAATCCATTATCAACTTTTTAAATCTTTCTATCTACATCTATGACTTTGTCTTTATTCATAAAAATATGAAAGAAAATTAATATAATCTTAAACTTACTCCACGACATAGTGTAGGTGATCGACAATGAGATAATTTTGTAATAGACCCATAACCAAGTGCATTATTTTGTTGTTTGATGAATCTTTTCACTTCATTCATTTCATGTTTACGAAAAAATGCTAGTTGTTTATACATTTTCTATTCAAAAGAAAATATTCGAATAAAGCATATCAATAATTTGAAACTTACTGTTTGCTAGTTCTTTTTGTTTGTTTTATTAACGAGAATATTGTAATAAGAAATGCTGTGCTATCTTTCAATTGATTCTTGTTCATCTATTCCCTCGTATTATATATGTATATATCTGTTACGACAAAGAAATGATACAATGTCGATAGAAGAATGGACTAGCTTATGAATGAATAGAAGTCCTAGTCAATGCCTATAGTCTATACAGGCGTTCGTTATGTCGCATTTATAATGCTTTACAGATGCGTTAGCATGTATAGTCATCCATAGAAGAATCGTTCATCTATAGTAAGCATATATTGCAGATGAGTTTGGAATAGGTTTAAAATTAATAAAATAGTTTTTTTTCTAAATAAGTATTTTTCTGTATTTTGTAGTTATAAGTTGTTTATAAATAGAACTAAAAGATTAGTTTTAATTTTATAAAATTGTCATATTTCTGCTAATAATAAATTACATGTAGATTTTAAGAAGAATTTTTATGATAATAGAATATATTCATTTACCTAGAATTGATTTGTTTGTTTTTCTTTTTTTTAAATATATGGAATTTGTTTTTGATAATTGTGACATAGGGACATCGACTATTTGCTAAAAATGAATTGATTAGTTTTATTTTTAAATACATTGTATTTTTTTAAATAATGGGGACATGGGGACATTAATTATTGAATAAAAAATGCTACAATGAGGAAAATACAAAAAACATTTTTCATCAAAATTTATATCATACATGTATCATCATCTTCAGAAGATGAAGATGATGAAATGTCTTGTTGTTCATCAATATTATTATCTTTATCACATTTTTCACAATAACTTGCTGAATGATGATTTTTGAGTCAGCCAGCAGAAACATAACGTGCATCAAATGAGTATAAGTTTGACCATATACATAGATCATGTTCAGAATGTGACGGATGAAGAATCTTAAAAAAAAAGAATATAATTTTATTTTTGTCTTCTCGATAGCTTTTAACATGCTGTTAAGTATATAGTCTATATGCATCATATCACGACGTTTCCAATGTGAACATATCTTTTCTTTATATTAATGATATACATCATTAAATTTCAATATTTCTCTTTTTCCCTTTTCTGAAAGAAGGAGTTATATCACGTTTAAATCATGGGTCTGAAATTGCTTAAGGTTTGTCTGACATTCTGTCTGTCCAAACCAATCAGATTGCGGTAAAGTTTTTAAGCCACACTTTTGGTTGGTTTTAAGTCCAAATAGCTTCACTCCAGGTTTTTTGGGCCGAGGAATCGGAATTCGAGGTTAGATTTTTAAGAATTTTTTTGTCTCTCATTTTTTTACACAAAGAATAGGTTTTTTAGGAAATTTTTTTGTTGGACTCGGTGGGTGTGGGTATTCACTTGTTAAACATGTGTTTAAAAACTATTTCTGAAAGATTCAGAAAAATCGGGCTCAAACGGGACCAGGACGGGTACCACTTTTAATACATGAGAACGAAATCGAGATAAAGAAACCCTATCCTGCCGGCCACTAGTTGATAATTATAATCGGATTTTTCGGTAAAATTTAAATAAATAGTTAAAAAAAGGAAACAGCTGTTAGAAATTCTGTTGTTAGGTCGGCATAGATACCAACTGTAGAATAACATTCAAAATAAAAGAAGATCTTTTCTATAGCATAATGTAATGTAGTCTATTCGTAACAGTTTACAACATAGTTCTCCTTTGCTTAGTTGCATCTTGAGAATCATAGTACCAAATACCCAGTATTTTTCTAAGAGAAATTCACACGAAATGCACTTCTTCACTTCAAAGCTGAACTAATAGTGGAGAAAACAGTAGGATTAAACACAGAAACGGTTAGCTGTGAGTGGCCGACAGGAGGGAGGCCGACGAACAACTAGACGTTAATTTAGAAGATTGTATTAAAGCAATTTTGAAATGGGTCTCAGTTGGTTTAATTGATTTCTTGAAAGCACTTAGGGAATGCTGATTGGAGAACGAATGTAGCAGTATATTGTTGTGTCAAAATAAAAAAGAAATTCAAAACTATGTTGAACAGTATGCAATGTTATCAAAAAGCTGGAAGTTTTCGATTACGAATCGATATGTTATGAGTGAAACAGTTTTTGGTGCACGTGAAAGATCCTTATGTAACGGATGATAGATAGAAAATTATACTATATATGGTAACGGGTAGTCGTGAGTGGCTGACCGAAGGGAGGCCAACGAACGACTAGATTTTGATTTGAAAGGTTTATCCTAAGTGTAATAAGTGAGATTTGATGTTTTATGAAAAATTGCTGAGTGATTCGGTTCTTAAGCTAATAATAAATCCTTACTACATATTTGACGTAACAAGACCTATTCAATAAAGAACTTGTGAATGCAACCATGGCATTATTTGCTTGTTGTGGCGTGAGCGAGGACACATATGCAGTTGTACGACTCTGAAAAATTTAGGAGCTGTCTGGGATGATATCAGTTTAAATGAATATCTTTCTGTCAAATAATGATGTTTCGAGGTGATCCCAAACATATCCCAGTTTGATTGTGTTATTAAACTTGCTGAACACATTTTGGAAAGAGGATCAATTTTTTTCATAACATCAATTTTCCTGATGATTCGGGAATATTAAGGTTATTTTGCTCAGATTATTTTTAAAGTGTAAGAATTCTCGAATATGCAGAATCACAACTCTTTAATCTCTTTGAATAAGATCAGTTTTTAACAAATGAGATATACGACTGTAACTGATCGTTTATTCCTCAAATTAAAAATGAACCATGTTCGATCAAGATTTTATGATGAGTAGAACCTGTCTAGGTTCTCTTTATTGACATGTACTCAAAATCAAGATAATTTTTAATGATAATCATTGGAAATTTTCTTTCAGAAAAGGATCAGCGAATCCAATCGGATGAGCGTTACTTGTACTTATTATAAAAATATACGACCATTTTTAAACTAGCTTGATAAAGACAAAAAAATTCGAAAGGCCTTCCCGTTACAATATTCATTATCTATGGCATATATATTTTTTCTTTTTTCTCTTCTGTTTAATACAAAATACATTTTAAAAGAATTATTGTATTCTTTATTGAATAATAACTTTATGTATATCTATTTATTCAAAATTATTTTTGTTGACTTGCAAAAGTGAAAAAAACGGTGTTTTTTGTGCTTGTAAAGTTTTTACAATTCTTCGTCTTCATAAATTGTGAGTTTCCTAGGTGGTTAAAATTTCGGGAGTATTATGGATGCCTTCTATTCTGTGAATTTCGAATGTAGAGTTTATGTATTCTGGGTTTGTTATTTCTTATAATTGTCATATGGAGGAATAGTTCAATAATTATCTCACAAGCTTAGATCTTATGGATTCAAAAGATTAGTGAACAAAAGAAAACATATTGCAATGATATAGAATATATATTAAAAACTTTAAGAGTATTTGGATTAATTTTGCTAAACAAAATGTATAAAGGAAGTATAGACGTTATAAACGTTATTGTTAATTTTCCCTAACGACATAGTAACGCTGTTTTTCTTCCAACATCAACAGATATTTATTACCATCTTTTTTTTTGTAATACACAGTATTCTTTGACGATGTAATTTCCATTATTCTGATTATAATAGACGAACAACGTTGCACAAAGATTTTTTTTCTAACGTTTCTTTGTGAAGAAAATCAAATTATCTTGAAACAACTTTTGTGTTGTGTACACATTTTATATTATAGCAACGTAGAACAGAAAAAAAGAAAGAACAGGCACCATGCTTTTTGACGGGATATATTTCATTTGAAGATAAATTAATTTATTTCGTAAAGCGTTTTTTATGTTATCATATGGAATTAAATTAAACTTAAAGTATTGACATATTATAAACAAGTAAACTGATTATTTTCTACATAAAACAAGATTTTAAGATATATACACTTTTGTGTTCCACCTGCACATTAACTACGAAAAAATATTCTATTTCTAAAAGTAGTTTTTTTAAGATGAAGTTTGCTACACAATCTTACAAAACAATTCAATCATGATTAGTTCTTTTATCATACTGATGAAATAAAAAAATATCTATGATGTATCAAAGGAAAGAGACATAGTCGTAATACGGAGAAATGGTTCAAGAATTTTCTCACTAGCTCAGATCTTACGGATTCATAGACTCATGAACAATATATTCAAAACTCTAAAGAGTATTTGCATTTACTTTGTTAAATAAAATGTATAGAAAAAAGTAAAGACGTCATAAACGTTATTGTTAATTTTCCTAACGGCATAGTAACGATGTTTTTCTTCCAACATCAGCAGATATTTACTACCATTTTTTTTTTTGTAATACACAGTTTTCTTTGACGATGCAGTTTAAATTATTTTGATTATAACAGACGAACAACGTTGCACAAAGGTTTCTTTCTAACGTTTCTTTGTGAAGAAAATTAAATTATCTTGAAATAACTTTTGTATTCTGTATACATTTTATATTATAGCAACGTAGAACTGAGAAAGAAAA